TTTGTTTAACCTGGTGGAGCCCGTGTTGACAGTGGCAGCAGCCCTCAGCGTTCAGTCACCTTTTCTGCGCAGTTCGCAGCACAACCCAGACTGCGCCACTGCCCGCCAGCCCCTGCACAGCAACCAGGGAGACCCCTTCACCTTGCTCAACACCTTCAATGCCTGGGTGGAGGTCAGTAAGGGAAACATTATGTGACAGTGGCTATTTAAAACAAACTAAATCAACAGTGTAACAGTTGGAATATAAGATTGCCTTCATTGTATATGAACCTCTTCATCTTTGGGCTCAACAGATGAAGGGAGAGAGAGGTAGTGGCTCGAGGAAGTGGTGCAGGAGGAGAGGCCTGGAGGAGCAGCGGCTATATGAGATGGTCAACCTCCGTAGACAGTTCAAGGTAGGCCGCCGACACAGAAAAATATTTTATGAATAAAGTTTATGTGAACACTTTTTCACAATATGAGCTCTCTCTCTCTCTCTCTCTCTCTCTCTCTCTCTCTCTGGTTAACAGGAATTGTTGAGGAGCCATGGCCTGCTGGAATCAGAGCACAGTGCTCCCTCTGGTAGTGACCGTGGGAAGCGCAGGGAGAGGCTAACTGAGAGGAGGAAGCTGCATCAGCTGAAGAGAGATCATGAACAGCAGGAGAGCGGCAGACGTAAAGTCCTGAGGCTGGACGAGGGCCAGGACGGAGAGTTCTCCTCAGGATCAGACACAGAGCAAGCAGGCAGAGGCAAGAAGGACAAGCAGGGATCAAAACAGAACATGGACATACAGGTGAACTCAGAATACAGTGTAACACAGATAAAGGTTGCTACAAAGCAGCCCTCACCCTCGCCACCAACATTTAACATTAACAAATAAATGAATGTATATAAAATCTATGTTTAAATACTGTTACACAGCAATTTGAAGAAAAACTTACAGGGACGTTTTGTGGGTCTAGAATTAATTAGAAGAAGAAAAGGTGGAGAGGATATTATCTTTGTATGAAGGGTAAAAGGGCAGCATAAATGGTATAGAGGCTAGTAATCTTTTACAAGGGTGGATATGTTTGTTTCTTTGTGTATTTCGAGACAATTACACTCTGACTGATCTCCCCATGGCACTCTTCTGTCTGCAACAGGAGGTGAAGTTCAAGTTGCGTCACAATGTGTCAGAGCTGCAGGAGGCGGTGAGTGTCAGTCAGGACATGTCATCCCGCCAGCAGGCTTTGCTCAAGCTGCTGCTTTGCCGAGGCCTCTACCCTCAGCTGGCAGTGCCTGATGAACACAACTCCAACCGCAAGGACTCTGAGCAGGTGAGTGCCTGCTGCTGCACCCACACCAGTTTATACTGATACAACAAAGGGGGAAACCTTGTGTCAGTAAACCAGTTTCAATAGTGACTGAAGAAATGATGTAGGGTGAAATATTCCACTTTCACTGTTTGATTCTACATTGTTTAGGTGTTTCACACAAGGAATAAGCATGGAGTGGTGATCCACCCAACCAGCGTGTTTGCCAGCGACCCAGAGGTGTTACACGTCCCCGAGAATGACACCAGAGAAATGGGTAACAACTGCTATTCAAGTATTATAAATTATGAATAAATCACCTTAAATATTTACTCAATTGTTGAGACTATTTGCAACTTCTGTTTCACTTTAGTGCTGTGGTTGATACTAACCAAAAATGTGTCTTTTTGAAAGTTACTTACTTTGAAATCTAGAAAAGAAAACAGAGAAACAGTGGCTGCCATTTTTTCTGATCCTGATCCACTGATGGAGTCTGTTTGTGTTTTCCTTTTGTATGTCTCTTCCTTTCACTCTTATTATTGTGCATGTCTCTTAACATATCTCATCTGTCTCTGCCTTTTTGTCTCCGCTTCCTGCCTGAAGGTCCTGATAGGAGGGACAGCAGCAGACACCAGCTGCTAGCCTTCGTCACTCTGTTGGAGACCAACAAGCCGTATTTGTCCAACTGTGTGCGTGTTCCTGCACTGCAAGTTAGTACCAGATGTTGAAGGTCCTTGTTTCCACCACAAACCGCTAAATGTTTGTTTTTTTTAGATTATCTTGGATTATTATAACCTGATATAGGAACAGTAAACCTATATGATCCAGTCTTTGGGTTTATCTGATCACTAATCACTCTACTAGGGTGCTTTTTGAGTTTTCTGTTATTAATTCCACAGATAAAGATTTATTAATTTCAGAAATTCCTTTGATAATGCAATGGAAGAATATAGTACTAGAATAATGTAATCTATAGTTATAATGTGTCACAAAACCATTTACATAATATACCCTCCATTATTGTGATTCCATAAGTCCCTGTTGTGGTCCATTCACACATCGTGTAGTAGTATTAATTCTCTGTGTCTGCATGTGCTCACTAGGCTCTGCTGCTGGTAGCAAACTCTGTGGACAGTAACGCTGACTGTACTCGTCTGGTGGTAGACGGCTGGCTGGAGCTGGAGCTGAGGCAGCCAGAGGAGGCCCTGAAGGCTCTGTCCACAGCTCTTACTCTTAGGGCTGAGTGGGAGCGCCTCCTGTTGGCCCAGCTTGGACAAAGCACAATGGGGGGACCAGAAGTCCAGGGGGTGTCCCGCAAAGTCCTGGAGAAGCTGAGTGAAGGCCTGGTCCGCTTCCTGCTCTACACTGAGGTACTGTTGCAGGGTTGACGTGCTGATCTCATCTCTGTAACCGTGAATATATATTGTGTGCTCTGTGTGTCTGTATTGGTCATTTCTACTTTGCAGACATTCTCTGTGACTCCGATGCTCATTCATCTTTTTACAGTCTCTTGAATATACTCTTTCTGTACTGTCTGTGTATTTCTTACCCTTTCTCCCAGGTCAGTTACAGCCTACGGCGACTCACGGCTTTCCAGACCCAGAACCTGTACATCGGCCCTCAGCCCGAGTCTGAGCTGTGTCACACCAAAGGTCTAGATCTAAACCCGCTTTTTCCAGGAGCCGAGGCCAAGCCGGACCCCATTAAAGGAGGCCTGCGTGTTACCAGTTTCTTCACCTACAACTGCCTGGCTGTAAGTCTGTCTGAAGCAGTGGCAGTCTAGAAAAGTGTTCTCTTAAAGTTACAAAAAGATGGAAAAGAAATGTTTTAACTGTTAGCCAAATCGTCGCATTTTTGCATATGAAGTTCCTATTATATTTATTTTGTGGAGTATTTATTAGAGGTCACTTCAGGTGAACAGTACCAGTTCATAATCGTCGTCATTTTATTTATCGCCACGTTTTAAACAGAGTATAATCAAATAAAGCCAGCAGTTCCATATCTTTTAAAGGTGATGCTACTGATGTATTTTCTAAATATTTCTTAGACGCCGTTGTGGCATCCCTGTAAGGTTGTATCTATTTGTTTCCAGGAATCCAGGCGTTGTAAAACAGGGTGTCTAGTGGTGACATACTTAAAGGTTACAATTAAATAAAACTGATGTTTAATTGGCTTAATTAAGAGTTAAATTCACTAACCATATTCCCTTCCTTTTTTTATGTAGATAACAAAATAATATAATAGCTGTCTCATGGAATTTATGTTTCAAGTATTTGTCTCCTTCAATGAATATATATATATTATTTTGGAATTAAACTATTCAGCTTCCCTTGTGGAACTTAAAATAAACTGAATCACCACACCTGACTAAAATACTACAAAGTCTCATCAATCCTTGTGTTTTACATTCTGTGCTGTGCAGGACTCAAAGGATCTCTACAGCGAGTGTTTACGCACTTTCTGGACCTGTCCTAACTGTGACCTCTACATGCCTCTGACTCCACTGGAACGCATGCAGCACGAGGCCTCCTGCAGGCCGGCTGGAGAACAGCAGCAGGCGGAGGAAGGTCAGGAATTTAACTTACGTTGATATTTATTTTGAGGTATATTTTGGCATTTAAATCACTCTAACACATTCAGGAGCTGATTTACTCAAACGTCTGAAAGAGAGGAATAACTTGAGACTAACTGTGAGTATGTGTTGTGGTTTGTTTTGTTTTTTTTAGAGCCAGAAGGTGTAAAGGCCAGCTCCTCCTCAGCATCCAGTCTTACCAGAGTTTATCACTGCGAGGTCTGTAATGAAGACCTGACCCTCACCTCCACTGAGATCCTCAAACATAAGAGGCAGCACATGTATTCTGCCAAGTGACCGACCTAAAGGACAACAACTAATCACAACTCTGTTCTGTCAAGTAAAGACGTGACTTTATCGAATAAAGTTTTTTTATGTAACACTTGTGTCACCATTCTTCTTCCTTTTTTTGTACTTGAAGAACTTTTTATTAAAGTGTGATTACTTCCCTCTAATGGTCACTGGATGTATGTGCCATCGCCTTCTGCATAGTTACGTTCCAATAGGAGATATTCACATTTGTAAAAACTACTCTCACAAAATTACGGAAGCGTATTGCATTCACTTGAAAATTATTTTTTTGGTTTGTTTTTCTGAGTTTAGAGAGCATTTGAAACAACAGACGCATTCATTCCTTTATTGAGAACTCGATTTAATGGAAACAAACACGACCGGCTTGTTTAGTTCAATCAAGTTTTACTTTGATCTGGGTTTAAGACACTGGGAGATAGTCCTGTCTTTAAGTCATATAGACGGTATTATCATTAGTTTGTCGACTCTACGCAGGAACCTGAGGACTTTGTAGTCAGGGAGTCCCCTGCAGGTTGGAGGTTCTCGTGGGAGTTCAAGTATCTCGATAATTCAGGAAAAAATGACTCAGAAAAACAAAAAAATTACCACGAAAAACAGAATAAATTACTCAGAAAAACAGAATATAAATAAAGAGTTTTTTCAAGGGAATGCGATACGCTTCCATACAAAATAACAGTTCCAAAACTTAAACATATTTAAAGGCCAGAAACAAAAGAAACACATTTATAGATTCCTTCGATAGCATTGTGGAACAACTAGAGAATACAACTTGCATACAGTGTTTGGGGGGGGGAAGGCACAGTGAGTTAATGACATGCACACGTGAGAGAGAAGTAGACGCTGATTTTAAAATATAGAGTGAGGGTTTAATAATGATACAAACCCACGATATGTAACACCTCAAAGCAGCACATTGGCACAAAGTCAGAAGTAAGACAGCACGGAAGATAAAAACCTGTCTCCAAAAAAATAAAGAATCAGAATAAATATCTCAATAAATAAATAAAACAGGTAATATCTCATTAATTACTTTTGAAACTAATAAATACGTACATTTGAAAAAAATATGCACATTGGCAGAAATCAATAACCCCAAAAAGAAAAAAGTAAAATAGTACTTAACACAGAGTTACTTAGAAATCATAAGTTATTGATTACTCAAATCAAAAGGCACATTTATTAAGATGTAAGAATGGGGGGGGGGCTGCAATTGTGATCGCATGACTTGTCAGTACTGTACTCTAACACCATTTCTGAACCAGAAGTAGCAAACTAATGTGCAATGGCTTTACTAGTTCTGTATATCTGCACCATCGAGTGAACGTGTGTGTGTGTGTGTGCAGTTCTACGCATTGCAGAATAGTGTGTGTAGGGTGGGAGGGCATAGGGTTAATTTAGGATCAGGGAATGGCAGTCTAGTGAAGACTGAGTTTGTGTTTCTCTCTAAATGGACCAGCATTGTCGGCAGGCTGGTCCTAGTAGTGAAGACGTAAATCCCATAACCGCGAGGGGTCGAGGGGTTTGTGTTCATCAGCAGTCCTGTGACCTGACTCTGAACTCCTTCTGCCAAGTTCACTCACTTTAAGTCACTTTGGATAAAAAGTTCTTGGCTGTAAATTAAAATGTAAATACTCTGGTGAAGCTTCTGATAAGTTCATTCTGCCATAAATCAAGGAGGTGATCCTCTATTTTGGAGACGTGAGACTGCAGCATCACTGCTCAACACTGGTTTCCTCATACATAAAGCACGCTGTATGTATTTCCATCTTTAATTTAAAGTACACTGTTAAGATATCACCATTCTGTGATGCTCAGTGCATTTCATGAGTTATTTTTAAGATTATTCTTTGTCATTTCTTTATCAATGTTCCCATTTTTTACTCACTCATCGACCCTGCTTGTCTTGATTTCTTACAATTTCTCAACAACTCACACAGAAACCAGGTGTGTGAGATTGTTGTGTTCAGTAGTCGGGAGAGACCAATAACAACAGTTATAGGGGGATATTAGAGCCTCGTCAATACTATATTTCACCTTGCATGATTGTTAAACACTGGTGCAAAGTGGAGGCTGTACAAAAGGCCCTTCTTTGATTCGGAGGGATTTTACACAAAAAAAAAAAAAAAAAAACCCTGATGTTTACGCTGACATATTAAGATTTTTTTGAAAAAACATCCTGTTAACAAAAATCTTTTGGAGCTGTGATGGAAATAGCTTTTAATCTACCCATGGCCAGTAGAAAAATATACCCCCAATCAGCTAAACAGACACAGAAATGCAACGTACATCACCAGAAGCATTTTTTTTTTTAATGTCTCGGGGTGAATTTATCTTTAAGCCCAGCTGTAAACTTACAAAAAAACCCTTCCTCACACACTCTTTAGCACCCTCAGCACCTTGGGTAGGATTGTTTGACTCTGCCACACCAACCTCGTAGGTTTGACTCGGGGTTTAAGGACAGGACTTAAAATAGCAGCTTTTTTTTTTTTTTACTTCATACTTAAAGCAACATTCAGCAAACACATCTGCCACTGTGCCCAAACAAAGAGCCTACGGGCCATTCATCTTTTTAAAGTTAATGTGTCTCCTTTTTCTTTTCACAGGGTCAACAGTCTACACAGCACGCGCATTTAAATGTCACACCTGTGTGCTACGTGCTGCTTGCTCAAAGACAAGTTTGTGTTCCCGTTTATCCCTTTTCTGTTTGATATCGAACACCAGTAACACACTACGGTATCCAGTTCCAACACTTTTCAACTTCTGTTTTAGTTTTTCTTAACTCGAGCGACTGGTACAAAAATACTCTTTCAATACATTGTTCATTGCACTTCTTTTTTTTTTTTTTTGGTGGCGTCTCATTCAAAGGCCTGGACACGTCTACAGATTGGTTAGCAGTGGGGTCCTGTTTTGTTTCTCTTTGGGGTTTTGGGTGTGTAAGGTCGTTGTGTACGTTAGGTAGAATAGACTTCGCTCAGAGGCCTCAGTTGTAAGCACCTTGACTGATTCAACAAGTACAGTGGGTGGGATGTGATGTTCTCTATGGTTAATATTGAAAATACATGGAAAGATGTGTAAAGTGAGGGTGTTTAATGTTCGACACACATTCTTTTTTTTTTTTTTTTACTTCAGAAAAACAAAAATAGCCTTGTGTTTGGTTAAAAAGGACCATAATGAATCACATTATGACTTTTAAGTCTTTGTGGTTGTCATTGCAACTTCCCTTCATGATAATTGTCCCTTTGCATTTGATAACCGTTCTTCCACTGTGGTCTACTACTTTCACCAAAAGACAACACTAGTGGTCTCAGATGCTCATACTTTCCTTAAGACTGCACTCGTTCGTGCTCACGCTCTTTTAAACCTCTCTCCCTTTCTTCTTTTTCATGTCTCGACCAGGGTTTGAGTAACATCTGAGGTAAAATTAGAGGTAAAGGGTGACATCTGTTCATCTGACTGATAAACAGGCCAACATGAAACAAATAACTTCCCCAAGATCTCATGTTTGTGAGTATGTGATAGTGTGTGCCATCGGGGGGATTCTGTCAATATGTTTTACATTTAATAAAATATACCAATTAAAATTATAACAATCATATATATAAACATCTTTTGTTTTTTGTGTTTTTTGTTTCTAAATAAAAAAACAAACAAACAGACATTTTGAAACAGTGTACACATCATCGTTGCCTCTTGCCACCCATCTTCCTGTGATAAAGTCTCTGACCGCTAACCTCTAGATCAGCCAATCCTCAGTAAATCCACTATGAAGGCTCCAGATGACTCCCACAGAGCCTGGTCTGAGTGCAGTGCACCTCCAGCAGGCATGGACCAGTGAGGAAGGCCCCAGGTTGAAAAGAGAAAGAGAGGAATGCAGTGGAAGGCCGTGGGGCTTTGGAGGGCCATGTGAGAGGGTCTGGGTCTACCGAGAGCACTGTTCCACCTGCTAAGCTCCCTGTCTTGCATCCCCCCCTACAGGTGCTCTCAACCTCTCAACACCCAAACCTCCTTGGTCCAGAGAACCCCGCCCACCCCGTAGCCTGGCCTCATCGGACCGCCTTGTGCTTTCCCCCACAGCAGCCGCACCTCTCCCCACACCGCAGGCAGGCGCGCAAAGGCAGGTAGCAGCACATGCAGGGCACGAAGAGCGATAGGGCCAGGAGGGCCAACCAGCGGGCACAGCAAAGGGGGTGCGGGTGGCCCCCCAATGAGTCTTCACACGAGCAAGGCTCCCAGAACTCTCCCTCAGAGTCCGACATGCAGTGGTAGAGCAGACTCTCTGCGCACCACACACAGGTCCACTGGCGCAGGCAGTGCAGGGCCGGGTCTGGGGCATCTCTGCAGCGGCCCCGCCCGTTCTCCGAAGCGCTGAAAACAGAGCGGCAGTACACACAGCGAGATGAGCATGACGATGAAGCCTGAGGACACGGGCTGTCGTCGTCGGGGGAGATTACCCCCGGGTCGCAGCTGCTGCTGGCCCCTCCTCCTCTCTTACGAGTCCGCGACCGGGGCGTGGCCAGTGAGGTGTGGATGCAGCAGGGAGAGGGCGAGCCTTTGACCGTCTCCTGGGGTGAGCCGGCACCTGAGGACACGCCTGACACAGCGTTGGGCATGGACATACAGGTGGGCGACGACGAGGACAGACGCTGGGAAGCTTTACTGTCCAGGGTAACTGTCACATCACAGCCTGCCGTCCCCACTCCCGCCAACTCCTTCTCGAACCGAACCACGCACAGCTCTGACTTGTCCTGCAGACTCCCTCCGCTTCCAACAACCACACCCCCGGTCAGCCCCCCGACCATAGTCCTGGTGGCGCTCGCCCGTCTGTAGTCCTCATAACCTCGAGAGCCCCACAGGTCTTTGCACGGGTCCACGCTGCGCAGGTCTCCCTCCTCCAGCAGAGAAATGGTGGGTGAGAGGGGGGACAGAGGAGATGAAGCTGGGGGACCCACAGGAGGAGTAGGTGGAGCAGGAGGCGGGGGCGGGGGCGCTGGAGGGTTTAACACAGCCGTCATTTGTGAAAGCTGGTGCTGTCCTGGCCTGGTGTGGATCTGTGGAGAGGGTATAGGATTACAGGGTGAGTCAGGAACAGTGTGTGCTGTGTGCAGCAGTTACAGAAGGCTTTCATATTGCATGTTTCAAAGAGGTGCTCGTGAAAGATTTCATTCTACAGGACGTCAGTGGGTCGTTCTGCTTTTACTTTTACTTTGTGTAGAATAAATAAATGTCTCTGCTGTAGGATGGAGACGGAGAAAAAAAATCAACCATCCCACCTTCCATGTCTTTTCATTCCTCTAATGTGTAATAATGAATCTGAAATATCACCAGTTCTTTGCTAGGAACCCCCCGATGGACCCGAGGCAGCTCCCAGACCGCTCTTTAAGAACCACGCTCTTATAATAATCCTCATTGGAGTGACACGAACACGCACAGAGACATCAACATGTGTCTGTTCCTTTGAGCATCTTGTTATCACAGTGAAGGACCAGTGACGGAGCAGACGGTGTACCTGAGCAGGTGTCTGAGTGGTGACAGCGTGGCTGGATCCAAAACTAAACTCTTCCGACCGCACGAAGCAGGTAGCCGACGACTCACTCGTCACTATGGTGATGGGTTTGGGAAGCATCTCCTTTCTGCTGTTGGACGACGACTCACTTCCTGTATGGGACTGGCAGAGGCTGCATGTCATCCCACAAGTCAAAAACCATTAATAACTGCATTGGGGGGCCCAGCAGGCAGCGTAAACGTGCCCTTTTTGAAAGAACAAATGCTCAAACGACACAGCGAAAAACTGCTCGGGTACTCACAGCTTGTCCATCATCCTCGGTGTCAGCCTCTTCTGGTGTG